ACATTGGAAGAATATTATGCAGATTGGTATAGGTTGACCTCCCTACACAAGTGGCGCTGTTGCAATCACCCTGCAGGGATAGTGGAAGACAGGAGGAATGACCTTTCCTCTTAGACCTCTGTACGTGTCATCAGATGGACTGCTGTCCAGTTGGATGCTACCACCTATAAGACTTCAGCAGTCATTTTTGGTTAGGGTAGAGCTTACAAAAAAGCCCTGGCTCACTGCAGTTAGGGGTGCATTCTGAATGTGGCTAGGTTAGGGACAGGAAGACTGTGCCTAGCGTAAGGAAAGGTTCCAGAGGACAGCACAGGTATGTTCCACCAGGGCTCCTTGGGAAAATCCACGCCTTGTGTTTATTGCCTCTACCTCCCATCACAAAGTGCTGGCAGCCTCTGTGCATCACCCTCTCTGCAAGAATCACATACCGCTGAGTGTTGCCACTTGTTTCATACTGTTGGAAAGACTGTTGGAAAGACTGTTACTGTATCTGGAACATTTTGATAATATAACTCTGCCTTTTCAACCACTGTGTGCCTACCGATTGAGCCTTCACCCCCCCACAGCCAAAAGTATGCCATTGTTGGTGTCACTAAGAGGAATTGTGCCCCGCCGAAGTCAGTGGAAGGAATAGTGCCCCATTGTTGGTTGCAGTCAGTGAAGGTAGAATCACTGCTTTGACGCATTGAATAGTAGTGCTACCATTTTATAACACCTGTGTCCCATGTTTGACATGGATAATTCAATATATTCACAATTGACATAAATTTGATCTTTATATAACATGTAGGTGATTTTATCATTTAAATGATGTTTCATAGTGTAATCACATATGTATACAAATCCATTGGAAAACAATGCACTCCCTCTAGTGGTAATTTAAAACAAGGAAGAGCAAGCAATGAGAGTCAAATCCAACATTACTGCAACATGTCAAGGTTTGCACAGATAATAAATTACATTTTGGTGTACTCTTGCTCAATCCTAATCCTTTAGTGGCCCCTGGTACTTAAAACCTTTAATGATCAGACTACATTTTTCACTTTTGGAAAGTAGTGGTTTATTAACTTTGAACCTGATTTACATATCAAATTTTCACACTTTTTTTTTAAAACACCTAATACACATATATATATATATATATATTTAAAAAAAAAAGTACCGTGTATGGCTTTTAAGACCTCATCTATATCTTACACAGGTAACAATATTTTGTGGTTTCTCTTCCAACAACTCTTTTTGGAATTTTTCCAACAGGTAAGACATTACTCATCCCTCTTGGTTTTCTGAATGTTATCTGGAAGAGAACTTCAAGGTGGAGGATTTACTAACACTGTTGCACACAGAGCCTGGTGCAGTTGTGACAAGTATCCAGCTTCTTGTTCAATTAAGCTTTGACCATAAAACCTGGAAGCCGATAGGTTACTATGCCCAGCTGCAACAGTTTTCGTAAATCCCCCCCCCCCCCCCCCCCCCCCCCAAGGGTGCTGCATTATATGGTCCAGAAAAGGGACTAGAGCACAGGGATGGTGCGGCAAAGTTCTGAATTAGGGAGTGCAAAGACTGGAAAGTAGTTTTCTGGTCTCATGAATCCCTAAATAACCCAAAAGACTTCAAGACCACTTTGTCAATATGTTGGAATAAAAGCTTAACTCAGGAATTACATTTACATTGGAGGAGGCACATCTTATATTGTTTTGACTGCTTAGTACCAGCATCAAGAGAGCGCTTGTCCTCAGGAAACACCACAAAGGCCCTGATAAGGACATCCATGGCTAAGATAAGGTGTATGCACCTCATGCAAAAGCATAAGTGGACACCTTTTACACACTCATTATCTTGAGCCAAGTGTGCCAAAACATGTTAAGGTATAAAAACACACCTATGCACCCCACACAAAATGTGTAACAGTAAAACAGTTAGCTGACCCGCAGTTTTGCTGCACATCCAAAATGCAAACATTAACAGCCCAATACGGCTGTATATGTGCTGCAGCACTTTTAACTCAGGCTGCAGTTTGGCAAGAGGGTCAGGCAACACAGCCCAAGGCTAGGTTCACACCTAAGCAGGTTGCATTTGAGCAGTTTCTGCATTGCGTTTTTGATGCATTTTCATTCTTATTGCTAGGCAGATTTGAAAACGCATCAAATACAATACATGCTTTTTTCTGCGTTTCCATTGAACCCTATAGAAACAAAAACAACTTTCTGCATTCAAAAAAGTCCCTGACCCTTTCAAAAAACACACATGAACATGTCCTATAGGAAATATTAAATGGACTGTACTGAGTTTCTGAAAAAAGCTGTAGAAAACACTTAGATGTGAACCTAGGGTAATAGGCCCAAGAAAGAAAAGAACTGAGGACTGCCTGTCGCAAGACATCTGAAGGACCTTACATCCAAAACTTGCATCAGATAAGGCCATAATGTCCACCTTGTAGAACTTACAGAATGTTAACAGATGACCTAGATGGCCAGCTTTCAGCTTGAGATGGTGCAGCGAATACTGATACAGCCTCCTACACTACTGAAAAGGAATCCAGATAGCTGCTACATAGACCAGCACAAGCAACAGTGTAGGGATCTCAAGATCTGAAGTCACCAAAGACTTTCCCCAAAGCTTGCATCAGATGACAGCACAACATCCACCTTGTAGAACTTAGAAATGTAAACAGAAGACCTGGTTGCAGTGGGTTCTGGTACAGCTTCCCATGCTAGTGCAAAGGAATTCAGATTGTTGCTTGTGCTGGTCTATGTAGCAGATCTCAAGATCTGAGGTCAGTAAAGAAAACATTATTTGAAGTCAAGAAAGGCTAGCAATAAATTAGGTGATGCAGCAGAGCTGAAGAAAAGGCATGCTGGGTAGAAAAGGGAATCATTTACAGCCATTTGCTAGTGTCCCCACCTTCTGTAGGTTGTAGTATAACCACATTGTTCCTCAATGGAAAAGACATGAGTTTTGTTAATAGGAAACCAACTACCCCCCCCCCCCCCCCCACTAGAAATTAAAAAAAAAAGAAAATTTAGAACATTAAAGTGAAAGATGTAACACCAACACGTCAGAAAAAAAAAAAAAAACAAAATCACCGAGCTTGAAAAAAGGATCACCACCTTGTCAGTATTTTTTGTTGTACCACCATTTGCTTTAATTACAGTCTTTAGTTTGTTGGGATATGTCTCTACTAACTTTGCAATATTTGCACTCTTCTTTGCAGAACTGTTTAAGTTCAGTTAAAATTTGATGGTGACAGTTTGTGGACTGCAGCCTTCAAGTTATTCCACAGATTTTCAATGGGCTTTAAGTCTGGGCTCTGCCTAGGCCATGCAGGGACATTAACTTTTTTTCTCCTTCAACCACTGTGGTCATTTTTCTGTGTGCTTTGGGTTGTCATGTTGAAAGGTTAACCATCATCCCATTGACAATTTTCTGGCAGAGGACAGTAGATTTCTCTCAAGAATTTGACGGTATTTTGCCCCATCCATTTTTCAGTGCTCCAGGCTCTGCTGCAGAAAAACACCACAAAAAAATGTCCACTGCCCCAGTGTAACTGGCCTTCACAGCACGGAGCACATGGAAGGGCTAAGCATGTCAAACAACAAAACAGAAAAATTCCCAGCTCAACTTGCAAGCAAACTGAATTAACATGTCTAATTATATGCGTTAAAAACGGGTTTAGTTCACACACATTTGCAAATACATGTGTAAGCTACAGAGCCACATCACAGCACCCCAGTATTCTGCAGTTCCATAGTAGAGGCACATGTATTTAATGGATAGACCAAGGGCAGGTGAACCTGAGGGAGCCCACTCCTCCTTGGGGGGGGGGGGGGGGGGGGGAAGGTACAGGAGCGCACTGGACACCCAGCATGTAGCACAATAGCAGCTAAGGTGTCGAGGGGGGGGCGCACTGCCAGAGCCCCAACTTGTACCCTATTGAATATCTCTGTAGACCTGCAAATGGCTGACAGTCCCCATCCAGCCTGAGCTTGAGGGGATTTGCGAAAAAGAATGACAGAAAATCCCCCAATCCATGTATGCAAAGATTGTCACAAACCCAAAAAGACTCAAGGCTGTAATTGCTGACAAAAAGGTGCTTCAACAAAAAGTACTGAGTAAAGAGTTTGAATACTCCAGTAAAAGGTTTGTTTTTCCTTTTTCACACGTTTGCAAATATTTCTAAAATTCTGTTTTCACCTTGTCATTATGGAGTACTGAGTGTAGCATGAGAAAATATGAATTTTATTAAATAACTAATTTCAGGCTACAACACAAGATTAAAAAAAAAGCGAAGGGTGTCTGAATACTCCATGAATTAACTGTACATACAAACAGGACTCAAGACAGTGTACAGCAAGCATCACTAATGTTGGACCATGGTCCCATCCAGGCCGGGTCACTCATCTGGACCGCTGTGGGCATGCCATTTAGGTTCCACTTGTTCCAGAGCCAACAGCAGGACAGTTCTCCAGTTAACATGCAGGTCATTGGATGCAGAGTGGTCCGACCAATCATAAGCTTGCAGCTCTCATCCTCCATTGAGAGAGAGATCTCGAGAGAGGGGAATGTGAACACTAATGAGAAGAGCGTGTGAGAGTATGTATATAGGAGGGCTGTGGAATGCTAGTAGTTATCTGATGCAAGCACAAGATTGTGATAGAAGGCTTGACTCAGATCTGTGCATGTGCAAATCATGGGTGGGTCAGCCTTGGCACGCAAGAAAAAGCAGCACCAATGTGTGGGGGTCCCATTAATAAATAAATGCTACTCCTACGCCTCTACTAAAGTGCAGAGCATTCCTCTGCAGGTTGGGAACGTGCAATTTCAGTGCATTCCCCAGATGCAGAGATGGGATCGCACAAACATGTAATTTAGACCTCTGATGGAAGAAAATTTTAGTGATCGAGCCTCAGTGAATTAATTTCAAATACCCCTTGTGTACAGCATTAGACAAAACACAGCAGAGACTGGAAAAACCTCCTTTTATTTACATATTTAGAACGTTACTTCAGAGGAATGAAACGAGAGGAGTGGGTGGCACCAATACCAGGTCTGCCATGCTTCACAGGCTTGTATGTGATTGAGAATTCACCCAAGTAATGACCAATCATCTCAGGCTGTAGGGGGAAAAAAAAAAAAAAAAAAAAAAAAGGTTAATGTGTTGAAAAGGAAAAATCATTGTAATCTCTACAAGTTATTTTTCATATCCCAGATACACTGCACAAAAATGAGTACAACACCCATGAACAAACATTAAAAACAGTATAAATAGTATGTAGGGCACAAAAATGTGATCATGCCATGCTGACCGCAACTTCACTTCAGCCAGTTAGGACGAAATGGTCCTCCTGGGCAACACTATTCAAGTACGCAAGCATGTGCAATGATGGTGTGTGACCAGCACCCTTCATATACAAATTGCAAGTTTTATCCATAAAATCTATACTTTTCACAGGTGAGCTTAACACAAAGAACCCATGTATACGGCAAACATATTTAGACATAGTAATTTGAATGGGCTGCTGTGCCAGATTTCCCCATGAAGCAAGGTGCATGTACCAGAAAATAAATTGCATGGTGTGGTTCCCACAACCGCGCTGCATGTTGAGATGCATAGGGGTGCCATTAAGAATGAATAAACTATCTTTTTAAGAAACCCTATAGCTGCAATTTTGGGTCTATTGACAGACACCAGAATTAGAAAAAAAAAAAATAAAAAAAAAAAAAAAAAAAAAAAAATTTAGGATAAGCAGGAATTCTTACCAAGCAAGATACCGGGAGTTTTTCTAGGGTTTACATCCACTGCACCAACCTGCAGAAGGAGCTCCCACCATTAACTAGGTCCCACAAAAGGTTTCTGGAACTTGCCCCACCTCCCACAGTGGATATCTGCAGCAGGCTTTCAACATGTTCTGCTGACAACACGGCAATAGTCATTTCCTTCAAAGCCGATAATGTTGGGCAGCTAAAGAATATGTTCTGTTGACACGCTCCCCCTGCACAGCCTTTCAAAAGGGAAGTTCAGTGTACTGCTGCACCCCCCCCACCCACCTTTTTTGGGGCTGAGGACTTTTTTTTTTTTTTTTTTTTTTTTTTTTTTAAGTGATCACATACACACACACCACTTTTTTTTCTTATATACACAAATGTTTTGCCTTTCATTTCCATTTTAAACTAAATAGGTTTTAGAAAAGGTGAGGGAAGTACTTAACCCTTACCCTTCAATGTAGAGACCATCAGTTGAGTCAGATTAAGGTACCACTCCCATGGATAATCTACCACAGCATGAATCAAAAGCCTCAGAATATGGAGAACCCAAACAAATCTGAGATACAGAACAAAGTGCAACAATATTTGAAGGGAGAAGAGTGGCAGCTGAAGGCGATAACCAACTCAAGGGTCTAGGCTGAAGGCTACAGTGACCTAAGCACCCAAAATGCCAAGGAGGTAAGCTACCCGAGGACACAGCAGGATGGAGAAACAGCCCTACACTTGTGAAAGTGGGGGTGCACTTTCACACAGGTTAACAGAGGGATTAGATTACCTCCAGCTTCAAACTCTACAGCTTGGGCGGGAGAGGCTCTGAATTCCTATATGCTACTACTCAAGCAGATGATGAAGGATGGGGTTACTCCATCCCTTCCATGTTGGGGCAGGAGTACATGCAGACCACAAGAGGGGAATGCCAAAAGACATGGTCTAGAGCAGGTCTAAAAGAGATAGCTTTCCTCAAAGGGTACCAAAGCTCAGTTGTTTATTAGCGGTATCATCAGCATCCTAGGAACATAGCCAAAGTGAAAAACCATCATTCCTAAATTGGGGGAAGGGGGGGGGGGGGGGGATTAGGGAGGACACAACATTGCCCTGCATGAACCAGGTTAGAAGGAAAAAACACACAAATATCCCCCAGGAGCCTCAGGCATGTTTGTTTAGGCACAGAAAGGTTAAAAAGTAACTTTGCTGGGGATGGCGTTGGAACATGCTTATAGCCTGTGCTCAAGTGATTGGGCACAAATACTCCAAAAAAGGGAAATGGGGAAGGCCTCGGCCCCACCTATCAGAGTTAAAGACTGCTCTCATGGGGCAAGCCCTACATTAAGATTACAGGCGTGGGTTCCTTCCAGGATACCAAGTAAAATGTCTCCAACCCAGAGAGCTGCCAAACAGAGTTCACCTCAAGCAGCAATGTGGGAATCTTGACTGAAGTTACCAAAAAAGGTAAAAACATCAGTAGTGCACCAATGTTACTGAGTACAGTCAAGGAAAATACAGTAAAGAAAACTATTACAAAAAGTTAAACTGAGGGGGAGAAAACAGCATGCTGGGCAGAGAAGGGGATATATACTGGAGTTAGCTTAGAGCCTTCTGTTGCCCGTGTCCCAACCTCCTGTAGGCACTACCAGCATAAGTGAAGGCTCACACCAATGCACTGCAATTTATCCATTTATCCTTGTTTTACATGCGCTTTTAGTTACACTCCCATTTAGTTTTATTAGACTGTTTTTATCATGAAAACACATCAAAGTCCTGCATGCTGCATCTTTGATGAGCTTTCAGAAAATGCAGCCTAGTAAAAGTCAATGGAAAATGCATGTAAAAACCAATACAATCACACACAGAGCCCATTCTGCTGCCACCTACCGCAACACACTGGTGTAAACGTGCTCTATGGAAACCGCATGTGATGTGGAGAGGAATCGCACTGCATTCTTGTTCAAATTACATGCGATTCTTTTGCAATACAAATTTGAGCCACTCATTTTGTATGGCTCAAATTGCACAACGCACCCACAAGGAAGGTGCAGGGCCCTTATTCACCCCCCCCCCCCCCCCCTCCAGACTGAACACCCATGCAATCTGATTCAGCCAATCACAGTGTTTTGTGGACTGTTCGGGGTGTTAACTGTAGTTAGCGGTTCAAATGAACAGAGTGCAATTTTGGTGCGTTGCGGGAAATGCACAAATTTCGCTGCTAGTCCCACACTGCATCAGTGTGAACTAGGCCTTAAACTCAGTTTTTGAAATCCTGTGTCACAATGGACAATGGAGAAAATGTTTTGATTATCATTTAGATATGCGATTTTTAAGCACATTGCAATGTTTCCAAAGAATCCAAACTGAACTGCAGGAAAGAGCTTTGTGCATCCATTCACACTAGCAAGCCCTGTAATAACGAGGCCTTGAGCGAGTACTTAAAAAAAAAAAAAAAAAATTTTTTTTAAAAAAACATTAAAAAGACAGAGCACCATTTACCCATTTTTGTATAACTTCACTGAACTCTCAAAAGGACACTTCATTCACCTTTATAAAATGCAGAACATAGCAGTGCAGGGAACTTCATCACAACATGCACACAAAAAAAAAACAAAACACACAATGCTGCTTACTAGTACTTAGATGTTTTGGCTGCATTTGTTTTAACTTCTCAGGCCAAAACTATTTTCAGCAAGCACAAAACACCAGTTCATTTTGCCAACGTGAACTGAAAGCACTGTTCTCTTCCTCCTGTAAAAGAAACTTCTCATTCCACCCCACATGTAATGAAGGCATGTTTGAATTTCAGCCTGGATGACAACTATGACTCCTTCCATACACAGGAGTATGACCCCCTTACCGCAATGTGTGGTATTTGTAGGATTATAAAAAGGTGAAAAAAAAATGCAGCTACCACATCTAAGGACTTTGTAGCTAGAGACATTAGAAACCATTACATTTTAAAACGGCGATTTCCCCATCTAACCTACAGCTGTCGCTCACCTTAATTTCAACCTGATTGAAGGATTTGCCATTGTATACTCCCACCATGCTTCCAACCATTTCTGGCAAGATGATCATGTCTCTCAGATGGGTCTTAATAACCTCTGGTTTTTCCATGGGAGGTGCTTCCTTCTTGGCCTTGCGCAGACGTTTTAGAAGGGAGTTCTGTTTGCGGCGCAAGCCTCTGTTTAGACGGCGGCGTTGGCGAGCACAGTACAGCTGCATGATTTGCTCACTAAATCATGAAAAAGATTAAAGAACATTACATCTTGCCAAGCTTCACATTTGGAAATAAAACATCAATCTTTTAATCTGGGAAAGTTTGTATTTCGTATTGATACCAATATCCATCATTCAATATATAAAACCTGGCACTCATTTGTTATCATAGGCAATGATTACCCTCATTACCAAACTATTAAAAATACTTACTAGGACATATCAAGCAGCTGGTCCAAATCCACTCCTCTGTATGTGAACTTCCTGAAGGTCCTCTTCTTCTTCTGCTCGGCGTCCGCCTACAACAGGAAAATATAAAAGTGCGAATTAAATAAAATTGCCTGAGTGCAAAAAATATTTCAGATAAAAAAGGTGCCCACAATTAAAGATGACCCATAAAAAAAAAAAAAAAAAAAAAAAAAAAGAAGATGCATCTATGCTTCAATAGCAGACAATGCCAGCTGTTTCAAGCCAGGGAGTTGGGTGTTAAAACTGGTAACTGTTTCTGTCTTCACCTCCATAAGCTGTCAGAAGTCTGTATCCCCCAGCCCCTCTCCATAGCCTAATGAAACTGTTCATGTTAAGGAGCTGGGAGGCTGCTTAAACATCTGAGGATGATCACTTGGTGTTTTCGGTTTGCCTTCAGTCAGCTGGTAAACCCATTACTGTATATCCAAATATATAGTAAAAACACAGTTAAACCCCATATCTATTCTGCTGCATGATTCACAGCAAGAAGATTTTACATTACTTCCTGTTTAAGATACCTGGAAGCAAGATAAGATCACACCAAAGCTGGCCAATACGCAGAACAAATTTAAGCCAGAGGAGCCAAGTAAAAAAGCTGTCAAACAATGCCTGCATCTGTTTGGGTATTTTGACTACTGCCACTGGCTTTCCATACAATGGCTGCAACAGGATGTTTGTCTATCTGCACTGTTTAGTGTGGACAGAGAAATGTTAAATTTTTAGTTTAGCCTGCAGACTGAATGAAATAAAACAACTAAATATTACTTAGTGTATGGCCAGCTTAAAGTAGAACTATAGGCAAAACTTTTTTCCCCTCCATTTTCAAATATAGCAAGGGAGAGATATAACCCACCAGATTTTTTTTGTTACCATCTGTGTCTCATTGCTGAGATTTTGATTCACTTCCTGACCCACAGCCAAACAGGAAGTGAGGAAAGCCCTGCAAATGTAGGGAATTCCTTGGGGCCCCCCAGGTCACCAAAACTAGTGTCCTCATTGGAAGATTCCCTATAACTTTTCTAGGGACAACCCAAAATTTGCAATTTTCTTGATATGGTAAACAGGACACAGAGAGGGCGACTCTCCTTAACTGCTAGTCTACAGGGCACGTATACCCCCTTCCTGCCCAGGCCAATTTCCAGCTCTCAGCGCTGCCACACTTTGAATGACAATTGCGCAGTCATGCAAAACTGTACCCATATGAAATGTTTATCTTTTTTTATGACAGATAGAGCTTTCTTTTGGTGGTATTTAATCACCTCTGAGTTTTTTATTTTTTCTTAAACCAAAAACCACTGAAAAGTTTGAAAAAAAAAAACCCATTTTTTTTCTTAGTTTTTGTTAGAAAATTTTGTAAATAAGTGATTTTTCTCCTTCACTGATGTGTGCTAATGAGGCTGCAGTGATGGGCACTGATGGGGCACTGATGAGCATTGACAGGCATCACTGATATATGGCACTTATAGGCGGCACTGACTTGCAGCTCAGATGGGCATTGACACGTGGCACTGTTCAGCACTGACAGCTGGCACTGATGGACACTGACAGGTGGCACTTCTGGGGCCACACTGATCATCAGTGCCCTGATGATCAATGTACATGTCCCCTCCGCAGAATGCAGATTACCAGCTCTCCTCTCGAGCTGTCAACGTGACAGCTAGAGAGGAGAGAAATGCAGATAACCGCATTTCCCAGTTTACATGTGATGCTGTGATTGGACACAGCTGATCACATGACCGAGCCGACGTCTTCGGCTCTTTCCGTGGATCGGTGATCCACTGTGTCCGAGGGACACAGCACACCGCCAAATTGCCGCACGCTCCCGGAGCCGCGCATGCACGGTGAGAATGGGAGGACATCATATGAACCGAGAGAACCACCTTGCGCCCGTTATTGGACTATATGGCGGGTGGGAGGTGGTTAACAGGGGCACAGACCGCAATAAAAAGAAATGACAGGTGTTTTAGACCACCTCTACTCTCTCCAAAAAAAAAAAAAAAAAATTTTACTTTTAGTTATACTTTAAAAAGGGGCATACATGTTTCCTCAATGGAAGATGTCCCCACTATTACTGCACCAATTCAAGACTTCCTCTTTTGCACCAGTGACAATTGTCACTAGAACAAAGACATCAAGTTTTCCAAGTACAGCCGACTAGTTCTAAAACTACACTAGTTTAACCAAAGTGGAAAAAAAAGTGCTTTAGACAGGTTAATATCTCACAAATTCCCAGATCGCCAATGCAATCCCAGCACACCACAACTAAGTTTGCACTGTTCAAGTCTATTTACCTTATTTATTTCAGGTACTTATATATCGCTGTCAACTTACACAGCACTTCACATATATATTGTACATTCACACCAGTCCCTAACCCTCAAGAGGCGTACAACCCTTATAAAGAATAGGGGGAAAAACAACAGCTACTTCCTAGGTTTGGTTTAATACCTCGTTTTGTGAACCTTTTGCAAAGTTTCTTACAAGTTGATAGCACTTCATGTACAAGACTAACAGCAAGACAACCTGACTTGGAAGAGTTGTCAGCCTTCCAAGCACACACCTTCAGTTTACTGATGGGCTACCCACCAGGTATACCATGCCTCTGCAAATCTGAGAGACAGCCCAACAGCCAACTAAAGAAGTGAGCAGGGAAGGCTGACACCAGAGGCCACAGCTTAGGGATCTCTAGGCAATCATATGCACAAAAATTACCCGATAGTTACCTGATAATCATACTTTATACAGTGAGATAGGATGCTTAAGGCCCATTTCACATGGAGCAGATCAATCGGGTCCACCTGTCAGTTTTTCAGGCAGACCCAACTGAACCCTCCATTCTATTCTATGGAGTGGCAGATATAATGGACATTCATCCGATTACACCCACCTACATTCAACCTGCTAAAAACAGATGGATAGGGATCCATTTCCCTTCTGTCTAGCAGATCAGATGGTAGTTGGGTGTAAACGGACAGGCGGTCCATTTCCAACCAACCACCCATAGAGGAGAGTGAGCTGTGTCTGCTCTGCATAAGGAGAGCAGACAGAGACCAGCCGTCTGTGTACTCCGTGAACAGAACCCCTGAGCAAGCAGAATCCTGGCAGAAACCGATTTGCGCGAAAGGGGCCCTGACAGTCACAAAAATAGCTTTCAGATTACATGGACTGGATGGATCTGAACATGCAGATCTAAACTGTAGATCCACCTGTAGACCATTTTGTTCAACAAAAAATGACCCTTAAGACCAACTCCTGTTGAACAGCCCTGCTGGAATAACAGTATTTGGTCAGCTGCTACAGCACTGCTCAATGTATTCCGGCAAGGGAGTCCCTGCTGTTCGAATACAAAAACACAAGAGGAGAGATCCCTGCATCCATTTGGCTTGTGTGGATCCAGGAATCTGAGTTTTTTTTCCCATTCAGCCAACTGGTTGAAAAAAATAAAAATCGCAGCATACATCTACTTTAGGGTCACCATACATGTTACAATCTGATTGTACAACTTAACTTTAGATTTACCAAAACTATGTAATATAAAAGGACCTACCTGAGCCATGCAACCTGTACCAAACCAGTCATGCCCTTGCACTACATAGTTGTTGGCAAATCTAAAACAGCCATAAATTAGACCAGCATTTCTCAACCCTTTTCAACACAGAGGAACCCTTGGAATAACTTTCCAGCCTCAGGAAACCCCTGGTAAAAGTCTATCTACAACTCATGATACATTAGTGTGATGGTCAGTGGGAAGAATGCTCCTTACACTTGTGGTCACTGGGAAGAATTACCCCCTTATAGATTACTTAAAGATCAATGGTGTCACTGGGAAATTATCAGAGGCAGAAATTTTTCATTGTGCAAGGAACCCCTGGCAACCTCTGGAGGAATCCTGCATTAGACTATTTTTCTCATTCAACCCGAAGGTCAAAAAAAAAAAAAAAAAAAAAAAAAAAACCCACAAAACCACCCTATCCCCAGTCCCCTATCCACACACTATGTGGATGGGGGAATCCTTCCACTGTATTTTGACAGCAGGGAGACTATCCCACTGCCAGAAAACACCGCTCACTGCTGCAGGCATTGATCGAACAGAGAAAAACAAACAGGGCAGTTGTACATCGAAATCCAGCCAGTCCCTGCAGAACCAGACAAATTTTGATCAAGGTATGGCCAGCTTAAAGGGAAGTGTACTGATTGTAATAAACATAAGGCTAGCCACACACTACTGGACAATCTACCATTAACTGTGTAGCAACCAAAACAATTCAAATAAATCAGGCAGGTCCTTGTACACCACAGTTGACAGTAGATCTAAAGGGAGATTATACAATCAGATTGCACGGTATGGGACACAGGGTGTAATTCGCGCAGGAATGACATGCAAATGTCTGTGCAGTGTAATTTCAGCCATACACTTTGTATGACTCAAATCGCATCTGCAAAAAAAAAAAAAAAAAAAAAAAAAAGGGAAGTGCAGGACCCTTTTTTAAACCTGCACCAGAATCACATCGCATGGGTGTTCGATTTCTGGCAATTGCATTTTGCAATCCGATCATTGACACCCCACACCAGATGCCATGAAAGCTATGAGATTGCAATGTGCCTCAGGAAACGCACAGGATTCGCAGCATTTCACACACCGCATTGGTATGAGCTGGGTTTGAATAGTGTATGGCCAGACATAAGGACAACTCAGCTGGTGAGGTCCTGTAGTATCATTGGTACAGATTGCTCGCTGCCTGCGGAAGGAGTTCAGCGTCCATACATTAATGGGAAGTAATGCCGGGGTATAACCTACGAATAGGAAATGGTTTGAGAATAGACATGTCTCCACCATGCTGCAATAGCAGCCCCCCCCCTCGGCCGGCCGTATACACACACAGCCCTCAGTACACATCACATATACAAGCCGTCCTATAGAACCCAACGACATGTACAACGCCTCAACGAGTCGGTACAGAGGCCCAACCGTTATCACCAGCTACAAATAACCGCCCCCATAACACGACACACAGCTACACCGCCAACGGCAACCCAAACCGCTACCGGTG